CTGAAAACAAAGGTCTATTCATTTAAAAAAAATCAAAGAACTGCCCACTGAAAGTTTAATATTCATTTTACTGCAATGCTAATTTTCAAAAACAAATTGAAACTAAAAGCAGCATAGGTGTGCCACAACACAGGGGAAGTTTGTGTAAATTCACTCTTACCCATTACTCAAAAACATTTATGCGTTAGCTTCCCCTTACTGCAACACATAGCTGAGACAAACCAACTTGTAAAGAACAAAGGTTTGTTGGTGCTTACCCCTTTGAAGTTGATGGCAAATTGGCTTTGTTTGTGTGCTTGTTTGTTTTTGGCCTGTGGCAGCAAGGTGTATCGTGGCAGGAGGGAATCATGGGGGGACACTGTTCACTTCATGACAAGGAATTGGAAGGGAGGCCAGGCTCCCACAGTGCCCCCATCACCAGGCCACCCCCCACCAGGCCCAACTCCACAGACCCCACTTCCGATCGAGCTCGGCCGCGCTGGCCCGTGGGGTTCACTTACCCAAACCACAGCAGTGTGTGTCCCGTGGACTCCATTGACACTGCAGTAAGCATCCAGTCTCAGAATGATTTTTATTCCTTTTGTTCTCTCCCTCAGCTCATCAGCGCCCTTAACTTCCATCTCACGAGACCCTCCAGGCCCGTGGAATTTTTCCTTCTCCCCTGCTTGCTGAGATTTTTGGCTTCCTATTTTCTGTGCCCTTGTCCTGTGCCTCACCCACCTGGCAGGTGACACCTGTGCCACCATTACACTGTCTTCCTTCCCTCCCCACACAGCCGGTGGCCAGAGAAGCCCTGTGGGTCCTCGGGTAGTGACCGGTATTCTCTCTGATTTCAAGGATTCCTTGTTCCTTGTCACTGTGCACTTTTCCTGTGACAGCTTCCTCTGCCGTGGTGGCCTGCAACCTCCCCCTTTTCCCACTAACTTGCTTGTCCACAGCAGGTGTGACTTTAAACACCACAAACCCTCTTAAAATAAGAGCGAGACCCCTGTCCTCTCTTTTCCGCTCCTTGGCATCATTCTCTCTGATTTACCGCACACCACACGCCTCTCTATCAAACCACTGGATTCCTCCCGTCTCCATCAATAGTACTCAGGATGGTTCCAGAGGGTGGCTGGATGCCAACCCTAAGGACATGGTTTCGTCTTCTAGTTTTAATTCAGGGCATGACAGTCTTCTTTGGACTTCTAGGACTGTCCAGTCTGGTTGTATGTGTCCCTTGTTTCTTTTGGCTTGCTCCGTCACGGATCCATTGCTAGCTTTTGTCCTTTCATTCTTCATTTAAATGTGGGGCTCTCTTTTGCTCTTACAGATGCAGTTAGGGACCTTACCTCCCACGCAGAACTCACTCCTGATACCAGCTTTATAACCAATCTCCTAACAGTCTCCGTCACTTCTATTTCCAAAAAACACCTGAAAGTTAAGATGGAAATGTGGGTTCCCCAAGCGCTCTCCTCCAGCAGCTCCTGTTGGAACTGTCGATTGATTATCCAGGCCAGACACCCCTGGAAGCCGTCCCTCGCCTGCTGTGCTCTCTAACACTTGACATCCAGTCAGTCTTCGGGTCCTGTTCGCTTCCCCAGCCAGACAGCGCTTCTACCCGATGCGTTCCAGTCCAGGGTCGGTCACAGCCCACGTCAGGTGGTCACCGTGCCTCCCAGGAACCCTGGATCTGGTCGCTCCACTGAGCTCCTGTCTTTAACTCTATCCACCTCTGGTAGGCTTCGATTCACACAGAAGCCAGGGCTATCTTTGTCCAGCAGAGTCCTGCTTGCGGACTGCACTGGTGGAAAGAATTCAGTGGCGCCCGTGTTTAAAACGTTTATCCTTAGGGAGGCTGGCTGACTGTCTGTTGCTCTGTGACCTCATCAGGGACCCCCTGACTCTGCTCTCACTGTGTCCTCCTGGCGCTGGCTTCCTGCCCCCTGGGACTCACGACCACCTTGTGCCACCGACCTGGGCAGGGGGGCTGCCCCACGGAAGGCTCCTGGACACTTGTCTGTTCTGTCCCGACCCCACGAGTGTCTGTATCCTCTCGTGTTCAGTTCTGATGCCGCGTTCTCCCTACCCTGCCTTTGCTGGGTCAGGGCGACCACAGCTCTGGACGCTTTTCCATCGTTAACCCTAACAACCCTCACGCTGCCTTGCGAGGATGAGGTGCTTGCTTGTGCTTGGACTTTAGGGACTTCTTGAGGGAAAATATAAACTTTAGGTCTTACTGATCTCTGTATTCTTGATGTCAAGAAATAGATAAGGAAGGAAAATCGGGGGAGGGGGGATGCGGGGAAGAACAGAGGGAGGGAAACTGGGGGGAGAAGGAGAAACTAACCAAGCACCAGCCCTGTAAGATGACAGCCCTGCAAAGCTACATCAATAATACTGACATCTCGTTCCTGCCATGAAATTATGGTTGATTCTCTTTTAATCAGGAAATGTTTTTAATCTAGTTACACTGTTTCTTCTTTTTCTTAATTTTTTAAACAGGGTCTAGCTATGTAGTTCATAGTGCTTAAACTCACTATTCAACCCAAGGAATCCTCAGACTTGTAGTGATCCTCCTGTCTCAGCCTCCCGAGTGCTGGGATCACAGGCGTGCACCACCACACCCTGCTTAGCTGCACCATTTCTGAGATTAACCATTGATGAGGTCCTCCCGGAGTGGCAGGGACTGCTGTGTCCTCCAGAGGATGCGGTGCCGTCAAGGCTCACACCTGGAGTGGCCTCCAGAGCCATCCTCTCTCCTAGCTTGGCCCTGAGACTCAGTTCCAGCGAAGACCACGGGCACAGTGGTGACCCATGTGACATCAGGATCTGGTGCACAAAGTGCCCTCATGGGGATTCTCTGCTTTCTTCTCGTCTGCATCGTGGTTAGAAATAACATCAGGAAACTCAAGAAGAGAAGAACAAGACAAAGCCCAGACTCTTGAATGACGGCTCGGAAACCACCTGCCAGAAACGCCTGGTTGGATTCACCCGGGTAAGGAAGTTTCTGTTGACTTCAATCACTGAAGCCTGAGCACATATTTATATGGTGGCTAAAAAAGCATTACACTTGGAAGCCAGTTTAATATGCCCCACCTGGAATCTGAGACATCTCGATTTACATTCTAGGGCACATGAGAAATTGACATCAATAAATTCAATTCTGGCAACTCGGGAGTAACATAATTCCATCACAGGCCGTTCAAGTGACAGGGATGGAGAAGGATGCTCCACACTGCACACGAAAACTCGGACGGGCTGTGCTGCTGCGTGAAGACACAGTTCCAATTCTAACTCACTTGGGAGACTGTGTCACCTGGGACACCTGGGAATCTGTCTGCTGTCCAGGTGACAGACGCACTCTGACTGCCTGGCGCCCCTGGGGATGGATACTCCCAGTGAGCCATCTCTGTGCTGGACAAAGATCACCTTCTGAGACAGAGGACATTCGAGGACATCCAAGGTGCTTCAATCCCAGCTGAACTCTTTTGAACAACCACTCCTTGCTCAAGGATGTTTCCAGAAGCTTGGGCTGGAAATGAACTTCTTAAACAAGAGCAACAGAAGCACATTGTGTGAGAAAAAAGTGCACTGATTTTGCCCCAGCACAGTTAAGAACTGCCACTCACTAAAAAGTGCTGCGTATTTTGTTACTCGATTACATGCTGGGATGAGACTCTGGGAAGCCAGAGTCGCTCGCTCACTACTGGCAGAAGAATAAGATGCAATGCCATCCAGAACTGTCTGCGTTAGAGCCTCCGGGAAATGTGTGTGTGTGTGTGTGTGTGTGTGTGTGTTCCATGATTCAGAAGCACTTGGAGAAAGAGCCCTATGTGCATCTAATGAGGCCAAGCAAAATGACAGAAGGCATTTATCGTCCATAGCTAGAAAAATGAAAGTAAGGTCAGAGAGATAAATATTAGAATTATTAGAATATTAGAATCTGGCAATCAGAAACACTGAAGATATGCATGGACTAACACAAATAAATATAAATAAGCAAATTCCAGTAAATAAGTTATAAAACTATATGCCTTGTGTACACACACATATGTATAAATATGTAAACGCAGATAGCTTATGAACAAATCCATAGACTCATATGATATAAATTTAAATATGCAGAAGAAAACAGAATAAATTAATTTTCTTCTTTATCAAGAAAGTTTCCAGGGATACGACAGTCTACACAATTTAATACAAAAAAGCACATTCCTTCCATTCAACTTTTTAAAAATTACAAATAAAACCCATCACCATATGGAATCAAAAATTAAATCTACAGGAATGTATTCCCCTCTCCTTTGACCAGAATTTAAAACTGGTCAGACCTCCTTGATCATCTGTACTGTTACCTTCTTGCAATATGCGTATTTGTGCAAAAATAATACCCAGCAACATTTTACATGGTTAAATATATCTCTTATCATTTATTTGTGTTACTGATAGATGGATTGTTTCAGATTTCTTGTCACTACCTATAATTTTGAAATGTGCATTTTGTAGATGTTCACAGGTGTATAAAATTAGAACTGAGATGCCTACGGCACGCATGTTTACATTTGCCTGGATGTTGGCCGATAATTCTCCAGAGTGGCAATCCTTAATTACCACTTCATCAGCACCGCATTGCATATCTATCCCTGGTTCTTTGCTGACATCCTTGCCGTCATGTGGTACATCCAGCGACTGTTGCTGGTTACTGTTTTTTAATTTGATTTATCTGAATATGAAAAATCTTCTGAGACTGCAAATCATAACACACACTTATTGACTCTTTGGGACTTGCTGGTTCATCTCATTTGTCTGTTCCTCAATTTTCATAGGTTTTCTTATTGATTTATAGTAATTTTTATATACTGAATATTAATACCCTGTGCTTTGTGAATTGTAAGTATCTCTCCTGCTCTGTGGTTTAACTTTTAAATGTTTACGGTTCAGGCAGAGACATTTGTTTAATTAAAATCTTTAAATCCGTCTCCTCCTTTATTGCTCAAATTTTTCCCAACATAGTTTTAAAGCACTCTCCAATATCAAGGTCGTGAAACTGTGTAGCAATATATTATCTGTTAAACATTTTAAAATTTTGTTGTTCACATTTAGATTGGCAGTTGACTGGAACTGATTTGTTTTTAAAATATGGAATTGGGGTCCATACATATTTTATATGGATAAGCTACCATTTCAGAAACATGCACTGAAAAGTTTCTTTTTCTCCAGCCATAATATCAACTGTCACACATGAATCTGTCATCCGGTCAGCACATTTTTATCGCCTAGCACATGGTCAGCTCTGTCCTAAGCGCTGGTTACGTATCAGTGATCATGTGTGCCCGCGTCTCCCTTGGGGTTTGCATCCTATCCCCTTAGGGAAGCTGATTCTCCATCACTAACCCACTTATTCTGATCATGATTATGTTTACGTAGTCGTGCTGTCTTTGGAAGAAGTTTCCTCCTCTGGTTCCCCTTTTTGTAATAATTATCACCATTCCTGCATTCTAACATGCTTTCCTACATATTCACGAAATTCCTAATTCCTCCAGCAAACCTATGTCTTAGGATGGACTCTAAATTTGGAGCCCAAGAAGAGCCTTGTGGCTGTCCTCCCGGGAAAGAAACAATGTGGAAGCAGGAGACCGTGCGGGCAGGCGAGATGGCCCCTCTCAGCCAGAGAAGGGGTCCTCAGGGGCTCTCATCCTTCACCTCGTGGCAGTTGAGGCAGGCGGCAGGGCACTGGTGCTATCCATCATGATATACAGTTTGTAAAATGAATGCACGCTCTGGGACATGTAGATTCCACACATTAGGATTACTGTGGGGGGAAGAAGAAATTGGAGTCGGGCATGGGTTAAAATAAACAAACCTGAAGGGTACTCACCTGATAGTTTGCATGGTGACGCTTTATTAGTGCACAGCTCTGTCTCTGACTACTGTAAAAGATTTGTATAAATAAATAAACCCACATCAATCAATAAATACCCAGCCCATCCCTAAGTACACACTTAGCCTTTAAAAACATTGATTTGCCAAAACTAAGGAAGCCTTGGTAACAGCTGAGGTCTATAATTTAGGTGGTTTTTGTTGAGCTCTTGAAACTCACTTGTAATGAGTAAGTGTTCAGCCACTGTTCAGCTGTAGCTTTTAATTGCAAACTTTGGAACACAGTAAATTAGGGGTGAGTGAAGCCAGATTCGCTAAACCCCAGTATGTGCTGATGGGCTTTTTTTTTTTTTTTAACCTGGTTGGACTGATTTTCAGCCTCAGCTCTTACATGTATTTGCATTATAAAGAAGAATAATTTTTGTGTTCTGCTTATGCTTATGCTTAACCCCCAGCCCATTCTTTGCTAAGACTTGTTCGATAGCCAAGGCATCTCGGGGTAGTAGTTTCCCATGCCGGTTATACTGAATATCCTGCAAACGGAATAGAATTCACAGCACACAGTCCATTTTTCTTCTTTCCTGATCATCCAGATGCATTGCTACCTCACTGTCAGCCTCACCACCTCATTGGAAATAATGCAAACCAGACTCACGTCCAACTTTTGCAAAGGTAGCCCCGAGTCAGAACAGCAATCCTGCGGAAGGAGTCAGCATAAATGTCTGTCCCAGCGCAGCATGAGGTCCACGGCTGAGGAGGACAGGACCTGCATCCACAGCAACTGGAGTCAGGTGTGCTTCTCACTGCAGAAACACGGTGTGATAAACTGATCACAACTCCAGAGGGAAGGCTCGAGGTTTCAGTCTTCTCAGAAACAGAAACTTGGCCTTAGCCACAGATTAATCAGGAAGGCAAACTGAGGCCCTACATCGGTTAGGGTTTGCTAGGATAATATATCTAATTATATCTAATTAAAAAATGGAACAAGTGGGCTTACAATAGCACCTGAGGAATCAGAGCAGAAGATGATCAATGGCCATCTGCAAGGATTAAGTCAAAGTCGAAGGCCTGCAGCTCCCTGGACTGTCTCGTGCAAGTCCTCATCAGAAAATCCAAGGACTCGTGTCGGAAGGCTGACTTCTCTGCACTGGAACCATGGAGACAAACATTCAAAGGCCTGCGAAAACCAGAGCTCCTCTGCAGACTTCCTGCTTCTTTCCATCCCAGTTATAATCCTATTGGCTGATGCCACCCACATCCGGGGTGGGGCTTTCCCCTCAATTTGCTGATTTACACATCAATCATCCACAAACTCACTGGGAACTGTGCTCCACTAATTCTCTACACCTTTTTTAACCCATTCAAGTCGACTCCACCATTAATTCTCAGGGACTCTGAGCAGAACCAGGATTCATGTGGATTTTACCTGAACCCTAGGAATAGGAGGACACCTGCATCCTCACCCCATGACACCAGAAAATACATACTAAACATGATTCTGCTCAGGGCTTTGGGTGGGTAACAACATCTGCTGTATCTGACGGGAAATCGAACTCTTAAACTTGTTTCATATATGGTGATGAAATAAAAATTATCTCTACCCATATGAATCAAAAGATAGTTCACACATGAAGAAAAGAAAGTCTTCAAACTCTAGTTCCAAATTCTTGAAACTCTTTGGTTATATAGTAAAACAAGGAGCAATTCAAATCATTGTGCAAATCAGAGTCTATAAGGTCTATACACACACACACACACACACACACACACACACATATGTATATATATATATATATATATATATATATATATATAATCTCTGCTGCACATAGATAAAAAAAGACAGGGAGAAGATATATCAGACAGCAAATACCATCTAAAAAGGAAGCAAGAAGGAAACCAGGAGGACAATAACCTAGATGAGAAGCTAAATAGAAAACCAAAATGTGGCTGGAGAATGGACAATAACTGGTTCTTCAAAATAGCAAAAACTTGATCAAAAAATGTTAATATTGACAAAGAAAAAATATTGATAAAGACAACAAAGTAAATACAAGTTCCAAAAATTAGAAATAAAAAAGAAGAAATCACACTTAAAACTAAAAGATACTTTGGTCAAGTTTTTGAAAATAAATTTGAAAATTCACATTCTTAGAGAAAAGTCACAATTTGATAAAAGTGACATAACAGCAAAATATGAATAGTTTTCTATGCAACAAAAATGTATCAAAAGGTAGTAAAAGCATAACTACTTGTAGAAGTGAAAAATTTTAAAATATAATTTCCATGTAATTTCTATGAAAGATATAGAAAAATGAATTTCATCATATCCAGACAACAGAATATTATAAAGCTATAAAAATGAATGATTTAGGCTTCATACCAGAACATGCTGGACTTTGCCAAATATATCTTTGGATAGGTAAGCCAGACACAAAAGGATGTTTGTGTACTTTCACCTATAAAATTGCAGAACTGACAGGACTCACTTGCAATGGCAAAGTTGGGGTATCTGAGGGAACAAAAATGGTGTAATAATTGATACAGAATGTTAAGGAGAATCACGGGTTTCTGTCAACTTTATTTCTTAGAAAACATAGGTATTACGCCATGCACTGATACGTAACTATTCTTATCACTTGTATACTTTTATCTATTACACATTTTTCATATTTTTAGGTTTATAATCAAAGCATTCTTAGAACAGTTTTTAGGATTTGATCTTCCCTGTAGAGGGATAAATTAATACCTACTTATTTATATTATGTATCTATACACACAAACGCACATTTATATCAGAAAAAAGAAAATACAGAAAAAAAATAGAAGAGGCAATGCAGTCATTATTTTTAAAAGGGAAAAAGAATTCAATTAAAGTTCTCATACATTACTTTTAAAATGTGCTTGATTTTGGATAAAATAAAGGTTTTATATGTGCAAAACTAGATGTTAAAAAGCAACTTCCAAAAGGAAAAATAAACTAGAACAGTAAGTAGATTAGTATTTAATTAGTATTTAGAAAATTAGGCAAAACCTCTTAATTTGGAAAATTACCAAAGAAATCTAGTTATGCAAACAGTTTTTTTTCTGCAAAACTTATTAGAAACTGAGCATACTAAATCCCAAAAATGGACAAGCGTATCATAGGATAAAAGAGACGAATTCTTTGTACAGGAGGATGAAGAGGGAAAATCCATCTTGAACAAGTGTTAGGAGAAAGTACAAACTTGGCTTAGCTGAATATGGGAAGATTGATAGCTGGAGATGTGAGGCATCTCAGCCACAGAGTAAGTCTGCATCTCTCACGAACCTTCCCTCTGGGTCCGCGTCATCCCCCAACCCTCCCCACAGGTCCACAGCACCCTCTGACCTGCCCTCTGGGCCGGCACCTCTCACCAACCTTCCCATGGCTGTGCATGGAAAGCCCCGGGAGCACGGTGGGTGCCGAGGCAGGCTGGTTTCTCAGAGATCTCACTGAAGTGCGTGGTGGCTCCCAAGTTCTCTCCAAGGCAGCACAGGAAAGGCACTGAGAGATGGATCTATGGAGGCCTGTCCCGCTCAGCAGCTGAGAGGCCAGTGCAGACAGGGAGCCCAGAGAAACTGCAGTGGACATATTTACACTCCTCTCTGAGTAGCCAATAGAATAAGTATACAGAAATTGGTAAAACACAAGATTCAAAAATGCTCTGTCCCTCAGCTCAACCTAACCGGGATCTACAAAACCCCACGCCTCAAAGCTGCAGAGCATGATTATTTCCAGTTGTATGGGGGACAGTCACTGTGCTAAATCAAAATATCCTGCATCATTAGCATTTTTAAATCAATTAAAAAGAAAGCAATTATGAAGAGTATTTTCTCCAACCAAAATAGCTTAAAATTAAAAATGATCAGCATCTTCATTACTTATCTTATTGCTGAGACAAAATAGCCAATGCACGAAGTTAAAGGAAGAAAGGTTTATCTTGTAGCTTATGGAGGCTCAGTCCATAGTTGATTGGCTCCAAAGCAGGGAGCGTGGCAGAGGGGCATCACGGAGGAGAACAGTCCATGGCATAGCAGGGCAGGCAGCAGCAGCAGCCTGCCTCTCCCTTTAGGCCTTCCGGGCTATGCACCTTTCAGGTGAGGCGGCCTTGGTCCCAGCATCACACGCCCTAGATCCAGCCAGCTCTGAAAAGCCTCATCTACATACCGCCACAACAAATAACACTAAGATAATGAGAAAATCCCCCAAGCATTTCACCATTTAGTAACACCACTTTAAATAACCCATTAGTCAAAAGAAGAATTAGAAAACCACAAAGGACTCCAAACTGGGTGATAAAAAGGATGTAACATATCTGAACGAGGGGGTAGGAGCTAAAGAAACGTTCAGAGGGAATTAAGTCGTTTTCAGTGATTACAATGGAAAAGAGGAAAGGTCCTCAGTCGATTATCCTGGCTCACGTTTTAAGCTAGAAAAAGGAAATTACATGTTAAAAAGGCAAGTAGAAGAGAACAATAAAATGTTAGAAATCAACAAAATAGAAAAAGTGACAAATAAAAAACATTTCTAAGCTGGAACTTTGAAAGTAATAATAGAATTGGTTAAAATCTAACAAGTTAAAATAAAGAAAAAATATGAATTTGCAACGACAGGAATAAAAGACAGAGCATAATTATAGGTTTATAAACAGTGAGAAGACAGCAAAGAAATATTAAGAAGAATGCTGGGACAATCAGTTCCTTCACGTAAACCAAATGGACGGCAGAAAGTCAAAACTTAGCACAGTTAACACAAAAAGAGACAGTTAACACAAAAAGAGACAGAAAGACCTGTTAGATCTCAGTACTGATTAAAAACTGAATTCATAATAAATATCTTTCTGCAAAAATCCCCAGCCTACGTGATTTCATAACAATTCAATACAACTTTAATAGAAATCATGCAAAGCCTATCAATGTTTTTCAGAATAAAAGGGGAAAGGAAATATTCCTAACACATTTTATAAAAAGAAGAAAATCCTGAGGCTCATACCTGGCAAAGACAGTTTAAAAAAAAAACAGTTACAGATCAATGCTTCTCATGAATCTAGACATAAATCCTGAATTTACTATTAGTAAATCTTTCGCAGAAATATTTTAAAAAGATAATAACTCATGACCAAATGCACTTTATCTCTAGAATGCAAGGTACCTTTAACTTTTGAAAAATCAAGCTATATAATTCACCATATCAACAGAATGCAGAGGGGAAAAAATGATCATCTCAGGAGGTGCTGAAAAGTATTTGATTAAATTTACAGCCTCTTCATGAGAATAACTCAGGAAATTGGGAACACAGGAGAAATTCTTTCTGAAAAAGGACATTTACGGAGTAAAACAGAAACAAAAAACCCCTATGGCTAGCATCATGCTTAATAGAGAAGTATTGAATGTTTTTCCGCTAACAGCAGGAAGACGGTAAAAATATCTGCTCTCCTAATTCATATTTAACATTCTACCAGAAGCCCAAACCAGCAAACACAAGATGAGGGAGAGAGGGGAAGGAGAGGAAGAAAAAAAGAAAAAATGGCTTGGAAAACAAGAAAATAGCCACAGTTACTTGCTCATAATGAATGCATGTGTGTAAAACCCATGGAACCTCCTTTTAAAAACAAAAAAAGTAGTAAAAACTAAATCTGGCAAGTTTGCAGGAGACCATGTGAATATGAAATACGCAAGAGCATTTCTAATGCTAGCAGCTGAGAAATGGTAAATAAAGTTGATAGTCAAGGTGCCATCAACCGGGTCACGCAAAATGTTTAGAAAAACATAACAAAAACTGTGTAAAGCTTGTATGCTGAGGACTACAGACAGTTCACTGAGTGGCTGTTCTATGAATTTCTGAAAGGATCTTTAACTTCACATTTAATACGATACCCCTTTACCACGCAGACAAGAATTTACTGGGCTGCATTTCAGTGGCTCTTGTCACGCCCAGCACTGCTGCTTCAGAAGTCATCTCTTTTAGAGCAGTTGGGAGGAGACGGAGCAGCCAGCTTTTCACATTTCCCCACCTGTGTTCTTATCGTCTGGGCTCTTCCTTTCTCTCCGTGAATCTGAATTTCCACATGGTATCGGTCCTCGGCAGCCTGGGGCAAAGTCTTAACGCTCTGTTATGAAGACATCTGAATGCGAATTCTCTCCATTTGTTTCTCTGAAAACATT